AATATTTCAAAGCTCAAATATCTATAGCAAATAATTCAAACGCGACATTAAAACTACCACAGCTGGCAGCCTTATATAATACATGTGAGAGAGAGAGAGGAAAAGTTGTTTACTTGATATGCTCCACATTGCATGATTGCAATAGTCATTCTTAAGCGTAGTCAATATGTACGATTTTTTCTACGTCCATTAATGCTGCTATTAGTTCTCACAATACACATACATGCACGTAAATGTTTTATGTGCTAATAGATTGCATGCTATGTTATTATTTCACTTTTCAATGGTAAATTAAAGGCGTGATCACAAGACATTTGATTAAAATTCTCACCGTTCGCAGGAAACTTTTGTTTAAATTACATTTTCCAAGCAAGAAATATAAATAAATGAGAATTCCTTCTACTTTTATTTCGCCATAATAAATTGTTCAAGTTGTATGCTTTAAGTCTTTGTATAATTTATTAAATTTAATTTTTTTCTATAATCATATTTCATAATTTATTTCTTCTTCTCATTCAAACACAGACGGCATAATATCGTATAGTATACCAAAGGGCGTACAGCGTGGCATAGAAATCGATTTGTCTGATAAATCATACGATGGCCATGAAGAGGATGAACGTTATGTCGAAGGTTTAGGTCAACTGGTAGATGGTCAAAAAGGCAAAGATAATTTCCGCTTAGATCAAGGCTTTGGCAAAGGTAAGCATAAAGTTTTTATATTGCAATAACCTTAAACTGCTAATAATAATGATTCAACTAAATAAAGTAAATTAAGTTAGAGGTTATTTAAAAACAAAATGTATAACATATCGAAAGGGAAACTTTTAATATAAATAAAAACAAGTAGGGCAATTGTATTCGGCTAGAATCGAACCTTTTATACCCACAAACATTCTCGTAAAGCAAATAGAAACACTATGGTGTGTAATGGCACACTAATAAATACCCTACATATTTAATAATTGATAGAACGATTTTTCACTATAAGGCATTGTAGAGCAAGTGGTCGAATAATCGAACTGATTCAAACCATTTTCAACAACGTTAGCGTATCATATCGCAATCAACTATCACAAAATTCGCGGATTGATAGATGAAAGCAAAAACATAAGATAGACAGCCGGACAGACAAGCTCAAACAAGCTAATAGAGAAGCTAATAAAACAGGGGTCTATCCAAAGTCCTTTTAGGTGTTGCCTATGTGCGAACAACGTCAATAAGCTCTTGTGGCGCAAGTGGTATAGTGTACAACAAATATTTTCTATCGAAAATAAAACTTTCTCATGCACCTTCCACAGAGATAATATGTCCTAAATACAAAGCACCAAATGCCTTCTGACTATACATTTTAAAAATCTAATACCAATTAAGCGATAGCTGTTAACGTTTGAATCCTGAAAAGCGATGCTTTTGAGAAAAGGTACGAAGAGATTAGGAAAGCAGTTTGTCTGTTGATTATTTAAGGCTCAAGGCTACGGATTATCGATCGAAAGTCAGAGGTAAATTAAAATAAGCACACACTGCATTGACATTATACGTGACTTACCTTATTCGCTAATTGTTACTTATTTATGGGATATGATATAATAACACGCAAATAAGATTAGTAAGCGAAAACTGTTTTTATTAAAATAAAAGCAAGTTTAAGTACACTCACACCAAAATAGTTTCCTTGAAAAGGGTAGTGGTAAAAAATACTCGTGCAACGACTTCAAAGGGGATACAAACTTCACAAGAATTTCGTGCCTAGAGAAAGGAGTTAGGGATGTGACAGATGAAGAGAATATTGAGACTGCCTGCCAGAGAGAAAAGCAATGTATTTTCAAGTTTCAAAAGTCGGAGAGTCGCATTATTCAAAAGAAAGTCTGATGAGAGGTCACTTCAAGTAAGCACTAGGTCGGTAGTTAAACTTTATTTACAAAAGCAATGCCACATTCTTACTTGTCTTTTAGAAACGGCAATACCATTACTTTAAATTGCTACAATTTTTCCTTCTATCTAACTTGTGTGGTAGAATTAGTGGTGTAAAATACAGCCATATTACATATCATTGCCGTAAAGAAACCAGTATATATTTAAAGTGTAATGCAGCCAACGCGTAATGCATATATGCGTAGCCTAACATACCAAGTTGAAAGTGTTCAGTAATAGCTCATAGATGTTGCACACAAATTTTTTTAACACGAAAGCAAATAAACTTGCTTCAATTAATATCTCTTTCCTATCTCGTCCAATCTGAGTATTGCAATTTAGTGGTCTCCTATGCATATTTCTACGCATTAAAAATATTTTATAAACTCAGTATAGACCCCCTGCGGGGGGCTTAATAAAAATCATATTAAATAAAATTTTACAAAAATTGTTAAATTTATGATAATTTATTTACACAATTCTCTTTGACTTCTATGTCATAAACTATCATAAAAATTTCATACTTCATTGACTACATTTTATACTTTATGGGATTGAAGATAACGCAACTAAGATGCTATCAATAAAATATTCATGAAATAAAAAACCACTAAGCGTATGCCATATGACTTTTATACCATGAAAACCATAAGTAAAAAAGCAACTAAGTTTATAGTATAGTGCGAAAGCATACATTACTTTAACTCCATTATTAAATTCTACTTTTTCTAACGTTATTTGTTGGACGTGTTCTCCTTTCATTTCATAATTTGTTACAACTTTTACGATAAAAAAGTTGACATGTTAGTTCTGATAGTATTAATGGAAAAATTATTATGAAAAAAAGAAAAGAAAAACCTAAGCATTGGAAAAACTTACGCATCCCTGTAGTTTGGGCTTTACTAAATGCTTGCTATTGCGAAAAAAATAGTGAAATAGTCACCAATAGTCTAAGAGCGAATTTTCAATACACCCTACACTAAAGAAATATATGAAAGCGGCGCTAGTCTTTATTTGATAAATATTCAAAGGCGTGAAGATAAATTCGAATTAAACTAACAAAGACACTCAGCAATTCTCTTAACAGATCTCTTGAAAAGGCCCTAACTGGGCTCTGTTAAGTTTGTTTCAACTAGATATGATGAGATTTTGGAAGCATAATTTGTCCAAATTCTCTCTTTTTTTTTTTTAATATTGCTCAGGGGACGTCCTCATTCATGCTGTGGTGACTGCCAGAAAGAAGAGCTTAGTAGGTGTGTGTCCCCAATCGATAAATCTACGCCGACTAAGCACTCTCTATGGCTGTAAACAAGAAGAACTCTGCTGCTATTGCGATTCGAACCCGCAAACATTGACTTGGTGGTCGCGGATCTTACCTACACTGGTCTACCCCAGACTTAGCAGGTATATATGGCCAATCAATAAGTCTTCGCCGACTAAGCGCTCACTATAGCTATATAGGCAAAGGGAACTCTGCCGCACTTGGGATTTGAACCCGCGAACACGCTGACTTGGTAGTCGCGGTTATTATCTACTCGCCTATCCAGGCTTAGTAGGTGTTTGTGCCCAATCGATATAAATTTTTGCCGACTAAATACTCACCATAGCTATAAATCAAAAGGACTCTGCTGCCCTTGAGATGTGAACCCGCGTGCATTGACTTGGTGGGCGCGGTTCATATCTATTCGGCTACTCAGGCGAATAAAATTAGAAAACGTAGGATATTTTTGTGGACACCCCGTCAATTTATATGAAAACAGCTTTCGAATGAGCTTAAGAAATTCAAGCTTTTCTTTCCAGACCTATTTTTAACAATTTTTTGGAATTTGATATGAGATTTGATTAAGAGATATTTTCGAGATGCTCACTAAAATATCTCAAGCTTTCTTATTCAGATGCAGTAGACTTCCAAAACCAACCATATGTTGTTCGAAACTATTTAACAGAGATTTTTAGGGCATTTGTAGGAGTCTGTTCAGAGATTTGGTAAGTGTCTTTGCTAGTTCGAGTCGAATTTATCTTCACACCCTCAGAGGCTGCTGAGCGTTTACAAGAGGCCTGTTAAGGGAGTTGGTAAGCGTCTTTGCTAGTTAAATTCAATTGTACCTCCACACCCTATCAAATTTTTTGTAAAATTTCAAAACTACATGACACTAACTAGGCTTGATATTTTTCCGAAGTTTTTTTTTTGTCAACTAATGTCAACTAAGTGAGGCAAGAGTACACATTTTAATAGTTAATCTAGAAGAATAAAATGCGGCACGTCTTTACTCTCAGCCTCGTTTCTACAGTTTCTAAAAATCAATCAATATATGTACCTGCAAGAAAGCAAACGAATATCACATAAACGATTTAAAGTATCATGTTTCTCATGTATCCATAAAATGCGTGGAGAGTTTTTCATATATGCATATATATAGTTCCTTCTATTTAAGTGGTATATATGAATGAAAATGAATAAAGTTTCTTAAAAGCCTTAGACATTATATCCCCTATATGATATCGCGTAAGTAAACATTTTTGCTAAATGTTTGTTTGCAACTAATTGTATAGAATTTATTTAGAGATTTCTATCCAAACACAAAAGTATCCCCAAAGAGCCAATTTACAGAGTGTTCTTTGTTATAAAACGAAAATCTAACATAACTTTCCGTTTTATACAGCAACTCACATGCTTTCAAATGTTTACAAACATCAACAAATACGTAATAATTTTATATATCTTATGGTTAGTATCTTCATCTGTCCCCATTTATTTTCATTGTTATGCTTGATAATGATGCTGAAAATGATGACAATGGTTATAATGTTAAAATCTTTATATGCTGATGATTATTATTGTTACTACTGATGGGTTTTCATTAGCATATATTTACAATACATTTTAAAATTATAATTAAATGAAAATTCTTCATATAACTTTTTAAGTGAAAACCAAACAAAAGCATTCTGGTAACAAATATATTAATGCGATTATTATCATATATAAGAAAGAAATTTCATCCCGCTTGACATAATTTTTATTTTTATTTTTTTTTTTACAAGCCGTTTCCTTTAAAGCAACGTTTGGTTTCTGTGGGGGGTAAATTGCCAACAAATATTTGTTGTAGATAATAGTCATAAGAGACAGTCGGTTCTTGGGAGCCCTGGGCTTACATTAAATGCTGTACAGCGTCCTACAACGTCCTATTCATGTAAAGTCTTTTCAAAATTAGGCATTATATGGGATATAGGCGAAAAAGTCATCCGATTCGCAGCACTTTATGTAGCGTTCGTCCTTGAGCCAAAAGACACCTGGGACACTAGTGGGCTGTAAGTTGTCAACAAGACGGACGGACAAGCTTAAATCGATTCAGAAATTAATTCTAAATTTGTTCAATAGAAAAAAGATGGATTTATCTTAAGACCTTCTAAGCGTTGCGTGCACCCACGCAAACCTAATTCACTCTTGTATCACAAGTGATGCACGGTAAGAATAATACAAAGAATTAAAGAAGTCGATTTCGTCTTGGGGTGTGAATGCAATCTTGTAATATCAATTTTCTCCATGGATAGGAGATACAGCTGCGTCCAAGTACGAAAGTGTGTATCCAAGTTGCTGTTTGACGAGCAAAGGAAAAAAAGTGCTGATGATATTCAACCGATTTTGGCATCGAACTGAATGACTTATTGACTAACTATTCAACGCTAACTATCGACGACACTTGGGTTCTAGCCCTAACAAACCTACGAGTCAGTTGCCGAATGATGGCTCCTTGTTCAGTTGTTGTTGTGAAAATTGAATGTTCGAAAATGACTTTCAAAAAGATTATTGCAAGTGGTGCGGGCGGTGAAGATGGTATTGATATGTTGAAGACGCAACTAGTCACAACATAATTTTAAATCTGGAAAGCTGTTAATATTGTTGTGTTAAAAAAATTGGAGAAAAAAAATTTCTTGGTTCCTTGTACATGCACTTATTATTTAACCTATATTCAGCAAGTAAGAATATTATATCCCGCCGTAACAAAATATTTTATATCCATCACTGTTACGTTAACAAATCTTAGAAAGAAGAAAAAAACTTATTTTCCACATACTATAGTATCGTGCGGGGATGGCTGATTTTTCTAAATATATATCGTATGTCTGTTCTCGTTTATGAGCAAAAATCCATCTTCTATCTATATCTACTCTCCAATTGCTTGATACCAAATCGATAAATTGGCTAATGAGAAAAAAGTTAATCCACCAGTTCGTAACGTCGGCAATATTTAATTTAAAATTAATACATTTAGCTTGTCCCATCCTACTCTCAAAGTCCTTTCATTTGATACGAAATTAATTGCACTGCTAAGAAAAAAAGAGAAATAACGCAAGAAGACAGATAATATATTTTCGTATGAGAAATGTACAGAAGAATTTCGAACACTCTGTCTTGCTTACCTTAAGAGTAAGTAAAGAGCACAAAATATTACAAGAGCGAAAAAAAAAAAAAAAAAATTTTGATTTAGGTTGAAGATGATAAAATTTGTGTGGGCGTGGCCGATTTTTTCCATTTATGTACATGCATAGTAAGGTCCTTTATAAAGCAAAGGTTGAAAATTTCGCAATTCTCTATTTCATAGTTGATGAGGAAAGAATAAAAACCCAACAATTTTTACTTAGAGAAACGGGTTAGAGTTTACTTCAGGTTACGCTTTACTGTAGATGTGCGCTCTACCAACATGAGTGCAAAGCTTCTGCCAAACACAAGTAAACAGGTGAACAGACAGACGGATAGACTGACAGACGGATATGCTTAAATCACTTCAGAATTTCATACTGATCAAAATATTTATACCATACGGGATCTCTGAATCTTTCTTCTGGATGCTGCAAATGTTTTGATAAAACGAATGTACCCCTCATCCATCGGTGATGGGTACAAAAATCAGAATGCGCCTTAATGACTTTAATGATCCATTTTGTGCAATCCTTGAAAGAGACCTACAACGTATCTACAATTTTGGACCGGTTTAAGCAGCTTGTTAGAAATACGTTGACAAAATTCTAATCTCGTAAATATTGATTTTTCTAACATTAAGATTTCCAACGAAAATGACGCAGACACTAGAATACGACCTCGAAAGCTTTAGAAAAGTCACCTTGAAAATTTATGCAACCTTTGATGTGTCCTTCTTGCTATAACAACCGACCACTGACTTATCTCGTATAGTGTCAGCCTTCGCTTATAAAATAAAATAAATTGAAATAATGCAGCAAAACATTTCATATTTTCTTTTAGGCTATGAATGGGTGGGCTGGCGTAATGATACACCAAATCTATTGGGCCGTCCTATAGAAATCACTTTCGAATTTGATGGTGTGCGCAATTTCAGTGCTGTGATAATACACACTAGCAACATGTTTATCAAGGATGTGCAGGTAAGTTGCATTTCTCTTTTTTTTTGTCATTGTGCAATAAAAAAAAAAAATAATAACAATAAAAAAAAAGGTTTTTTTTTTTTTCTGCTCCATCAGCGTTGCAATGTATTTAATGTAGAAAACCTCATAAATCAAAATAAAAATAAACATAAAACTATATATTCAATGATATGTATGTAGTCATGTTTGGTCGCTTACTAACTTGATATCAGTTATGAAAAGACTTACTTTTTCCACCCCCTCTCTACTAGTGCAAGGCAAACAATAATGATTAATATGTTATAAATGTGACATGCATTGTATTTTCAACTAAGACTTTCGTTCTTTATTACTTGGTTTTGTTAATGATAAGAGAATTGATTTTATTGCCTTTAAAACCAAACATGACCGCAACATTTACAGCAATAATGTTCACAAAGGGTTGCCCTGAAATTGTAGATAATGTTGTTTACTCGTTTTGTATGATTGAAATCAACTGCTATGTTATTAAGTTGTCAGATAAATAATAAAATGTAACAGTTTTGTTAGTGGTTTTCAATACCACGATAACAATCGATTTTATTTAACAATTTATTAAATCATTGTTTCTTTTCTTAAGTAAATAAAATTAAATTACAAGTCAATGTATGACTAACCGCACCAAACCCATTTCTTCTGAAGCACTTTAATAAAATGCAATCGTGTAGAAAATACTAAAAATAGCTGATTATATCGATTATATTGCATGCTATCTTTAAATATTTATTGCTACAAGGAATTAAATTTTTAAATATTTATTCCAAATAAATTGCTAAATAAATTCCGCAGGATAAAATGCTTGAAGAACACAGGCAATCACTATAGCCTCATAAAAATTATGCTTTAAAACTCGCTTTGGATAAAAAATGGTTGCTCCGAACGATCTCACTTTTATGTGGTTTTCAAAAGAATGGTTTTTCAAAAAGAAAATTAATCAAGAAGAAATATTCCCTTGTATGCAAGTATGTTTGACTAGTGAAGTAAATAGTTATGAAAAAAGAGTTTTTTTAGTGAAAGAAATTTTTACACATCAAGCAATAAATCTCCGGTTTGGAAGATATATGACAGATCTGTTGACAAACACAAACGATTTCTGAATAGTGCCAACCTTCAAACTATGTCTAGAAAAATTTCATGACACTCATAACAATTTCATGACATTGGTTTTTGTGACTGCAATTTTGTAATTTTCATAAGAAGAGACGAAAAACATTTCATTTGTAACCCTAAAAAACTCGCAGATACTGTTCGAACTAAACATTGGCTTAAAAGGCCTTATGGCATCTGTTTGTCGACGGATTTGCTAATTCTAAGGATGATGCTGGACATTGGGGCCGGAAAACCTAAAAAAAAATTACCGTAAAATCATTTTGCAAGAGCAAATACTAAAGCTGCGTGACATAGCCGACATCCTACGGCAGATAGCAAATTGCAGCCCATTTAACATTGTGCATAAACATTTGTCTATGAGAGAACTCTGTTGATAGTGGATGCCACGTATTAAAGTTATAACGGTTCAAAACACTGTTTGATCGCCGTTTTGGGCGAGATAAAAAGGATTTTATCGGCCCTATGCGACGGAATTCATCACTACACTCGAGTGGCCAGCAACCGGCAAAAGCCCTCCAAAACGACCAAAAAGTAGCGTCTGTAAAACAACTGTAACTTGCTACCAACCGATCGAAATTCTATGAAATTTTGACACATTTTGCTTGAAAGTCGATGTTATATGAAAGCCATACGGATTCGTCAATAGCGACAGCTATGTATCACTCCGTCAGTATCTATATTAGATTACAAAATTCAAATTTAATTTCAATGCAAAGTAAAAATAAAATAAAAGCAAGTCTCACTCATTTCTCACACAGTACACAAAATCAATTTTACATAAATAAAGGAATCAGACTGATATTGAAATTATGGTCCGGTAATCCGACAGCATGCCCCTTGATCGGCCTTGAATATCCGTTGCCTCAAAATAATTTTTTACTTCTTCTTATTTTAGCAATTCCTGTCCGCTCTACCGACTCTACCTTTAGGTTTACCTGTTCACGCCATTTCTTCAAAGAAATCGTAGGTGTATGTCTACGAATTTTCAGACTTGAAATTTTCAATTGGATGCCAGAAGTATTTTAGATAACTAATTTTGTTACATTTGTCAGTACCATTTAGTTTAATGATTCCCTACGTAAAATGATCGTTCATTTGCGAGAGGAACACTCTGCTTGATTGCTCGAATCAATGCAGTGTAGTTCGGAGACATTCAAACTTGTTGCACACATTATCCAGTTTCTTGGAAAGGGTTCACTCATTGGAATAGGAAGATTTAAGGGCAATACCAGACGAAAAAGGAAACCGTTGGAAAGTCGGTTTTAATGGTTTAATGCCATCGTCATAAAAACAACAACGAAAAATAAAAAAAAAAAACAAATAAAAACACTCCAGTTAGCGTCGGCTTATCATTAAATGCCCTAGAGCATCCTACAGATCATATAAAAACTTCTCAAAATAAGGCATTGTATGGGAAGTACTCGAAAAAAGTGACCTATCTGAAGCAGTTTCAATAGCGTACATCCTTGGGGTAAAAAATATCAGTGGTTCAAATTTCATCGAAATGCCTCAAAGATTGTGGGTTGTAGACAGGACACAACACGGACTTAGGGACAGACATGTTTGGGTCAATTCAAAAATTGATTCTGAATGTTGCATACCAGTAGCTGTGTGGGGTGTAAGAGCTCTACATACGAATATTTTATTCCCTGGTGTCCTTTTAGCAAGAAAACATAATGAATTTGATCCGAATTTTCCTTCAGCAATAATGATAAATTAAAATTAGAGCTAACGCGTCTAATGTGGTCGCTAGCATGGGAAAACTTTATTTGAAGGAAATTTTTTTTTTATCATTGAAAGACAAGTTTTGCGAAAATTAAGCCGAACGACCCGATCAGAAAAGTTCTTGTTATAGCGCCAGCCAGATATATACGCTGTACCCAGTGGCACATATAGACACAGTTATAACAACTTGCATATGGGAACTTTAAAGATGAGTTCATGATAAGTGATCAAGCTTATATAAGTTGACTAACAAAATCCAATGATTTCAGTTGAATTTGGAAAATACTCATCTAAAATATGTGTAGCACAGTGTAGCAAATTTAAAGAGAAATGTTGAAAATATTCTGTACCGGTTTTCTTTAAATTGATATATTAAACATTTATGAAAATAAATGAAAATAAAAATAAATCTTTTTTAATAATAGGTTTACAAAGTCATTGGAGTTAGATTAAACGATGTATATAAATAATGTTAGTTTTTGCTGAACGCATTATTTATTCTGCTATGTTAAATGGAAACTTTAATCGGTCAACCGTTACTAAGCAAAATTATTTAGTTTGAATTTGTTTTTTTGGTTTTTTTTTTTTTTTAAATTCGCAAAGTCATATAAAAAACTCTTTATTAAATTATATCAGTTTTTGTTAATTGATTGAAGTGTAAAAAATATTTGAAATTTTAATTTGAAAAATTATCTATTACCACAAAGCAACTGCAAAGTAATAATTTTTTGACATCTACACCACATATGTATAAACCGCACACATATATATTTGTATATATATATATATATGTGCACATATGTATAAATATGTGTGTGTATACGCTTACATATATTTATAATAGGTGTACAAATAAGTGATTTTTTGTTGAATTTGGTTGCTTTATCAAGTATACCTGTCGCGTTAATTTCTTTCGATATTTTAGTTACATAGTTAACTGTTGTACAGTATAAAGCTGTCGCTTAGTGCAAGTTAAAGTCTAAATAGGCGGATGCCATTTACGACTCGGGGTTTTCTTCCGTTTATCTTACTTTGTCATTTTTATTTTCTTTTGTTCTGGAATATGGCCTATGAGAGAGAAGTGTTATGCCTTTACGGGCAGAGTAGTTTGGTCCCGCGTACCACAATTTTCATCCACTCGGCAGCTCATGCTAGTCATGCTTAAGCTGACTTGAAGTAAAAATACCGTAAGCTACCGAAGCAGTTAGAAAGCGTTTTGCGGCATTTCAGGCCAAAGAATTGTAGTCTTGAAGACAGCGAATATATGCAGAATATATTCACACTGGAGATATGCGAGTCCATGTTCAGCTGATGCAACCGAGGATGTGATCTTCAAATTAGGCTGAGATATTCTCCCAATTGCGCAATTACTTTCCAAGCCCGTCCACTTCAAATCGATCGATTAGCAAATCAGTGGCTTACAAAAGATTATGATGAATGAAGTTGTATCCAAGACCCTTTCTCCTCATAGAATCGCCAATATTCCACTCCGAGAGCATCTACGAGCCAGCCAAAGACCATAGGTATTGATGATGAATGCTGCGGTTACAAGGCTTTCGTAACAAGTATTCTTTAATTAAATTTAAACTTTATCAAAAAAATTTGAAACTACTTGTACACCTAGCACCTATGTTTATCTACATTTGTATATCGAAGGATTTACTGATGTTAGTCTTAGCACATCGTTTGTGACGTATAAAAGTATTGCTTGAAAATATTTCGATTTTCAGATGATCTTGATTTATTTGAAGTATTAAATGCATCCATCCATCCATACTGATTATTGATAGAAATTTTTTTGTGATTATATGACCAATCATTCAAGGGATGTCGCCGATTCGTGTAGTACGGGAGGAAAGCGAAAAAGATAGCGAACCGGCATAATGGGCGAGTTCGGCTAAGTTCGACTACGCACTCAGTATAATCGCGGCCACTCACTATACTCACCGCATTTAAATTTGAACACGCGAGCAGAGACTAGGTAATGGCGATTCTCAACTATTCGGCTACTCATGCGGATGGAGTGAAATGGATTGAAGTGATTGTTTGCGAACAGACTTAACAAACTTTAAAATATTAAATTATCTGTTCGTTAACATGACACGATCCATAGACAAACTCTCTCGAAGATAAATATATATATATATATATATATATTTGTCATAGCCATTTAAAATTCTAATTTTTTTACGTTTTTAAAAATTCGATTCATCTCATGTAAAGTGTCGACAATTTCACGATGTTCATCCTCAGATGGATATTGTTTTTCGTGGTTATTACTTTAAGCTAAAAAAAAAATTGTTTTTTTTTAAATATTCTTTTTAAATATTTAAAGCGAAATGAACGTTCGACCCCCCCAGAGGAGAAAAAGTAACACTGCAAGGTGCTTTCGTCAAAACGAAAATAAAATTTTATTTATAAATACTTTTAAGTATTAGGTTAAATGTAAACAAAATTTTGAAAACCAAAGCTCACTACTAAACCAAAGAAGTTATTAATAAAAATTTCATTTTCGTTTCTTGTTTTTTTTTAGTTTTCTAATCTATTGTAAACATTTGTCGACAAAGGGTAAACAAATATTCAGAAAACACCACTTGAATATTAAGCACATAGTAAACATTAACATATGTACTTATGTTCTCTCCAAGAATCCAATCGCCCATACACATATAAATAGAATAACGATCATGCCAGACTGCTTGACGGCGATTGTTATTGTAATATCAGCGACTATGTGGTATAGAAGAAATGTTTATAAAATCTTTAATTAAAAAAAAAAAAAAAAAAAAAACATCAAAGAAATACAAAAAAACAACAAATCAAGCTGTAGTTGTTAAAGTAACACTTTGTGCGCTGGTGGTTTTTTTTTTTCTTTTCCTTTTCTTGTTTTAATGCATGTCGTAACTCTTGATATATTACGGCTGCCGTTTATTAGTGGCATATGTTTTTCACTTCTTTTTCAATAAATTTATTGCATTTGTTTTCTTGTTAGTAAAATTCCCATGAAACTTTGATTAAATAATTTTAAAGAGAGCACACGCAGAGCACTGTTATAAGAAGTAATTTTCTATAAATCATTGGCTAAGAGAATCGAACATAGTCTAGATTCTGGAACGAATACATGAAAAACCTATTAGAATAGAGCTAGGGACGCTTGGCAGATATACGAGAGCAGTTCATTTTACATGAATTGTTCTACTACTCCTGCAAATCAAAGGCTCATTGGTATAAGAACTTCTTCAGGCACGCAGGCAGACAGACAGACATTAACCTGGTGTGAGGATTATTCCATAATATAATTCAGTAAAATTTCCTCTTCTTTTTTTTTCGAAAAACATGCACTCATCTATCGCATATTCATGTTGGTGTCCTTAGCTCTGTGAAAGTGATGTTAAATTCATTATATTTTGAACACATTTTGTGAGACAAGCGAAGAAACATTAATAACAATGGGAATAATGGGGAAATATATAGTTTTTCATATATCAAGATTAGACCTTTAAGCGGTTCACATGGCAAACAAAATTCTAGGCAATCGTTTAGAATACGCTAGTGTTTTACGGGGTAGCGTTGGCATTATAACCTTTGATTGTATTAAGAAGAGCATGCTCTTGTACCATCTTTTCGAATTGCTTAAAAGGCTCAACCAGAACCAAAGGCCTGCTTATAGCAATAAATGCAAGACATGCCATGCCATTCATACTAAGCGAATGGCCAGAGAATACTTAGAACTATAAAATGAAACTGGCTAAAGCTGGCCCATTATATGTAGCCTAGATTTTTGTCGTTTGTCTAATGGATAAATACAATAACATTGATCGGATTTCTCGAAAAATCATTCTAAATGGAAAGTGATGATATAGCACCCGAGGGATGTAATATAGACACGCCTTTCATTGAAACGATACCCCTGTCCGTCCGTCTATGCGTCTGTCCATGTTTTTCCTATTCAACCATCAGGTAGCAATTTTTAAGATATTTCAATGAACAAGGTGCAAGGTTTCTACTTGCTGTATTAAGGAACGTAGTTGCATGACCCGGGCATTTTAAATATTCGGCAAATTCGTTTTTCACTAACAGTTTCTACCCTGATGCAATAAAGTATTTCTACTGCGATTATAAAAAAAAAAAATTTAGTTTACTTTAATAGATGTCCTTGTGTGATACACAGTAAAATCACCTTATGCATGTAGCAAAGGTAATAATTCATTTTCTGTATTTGCCAAAGTATTTGAAAAGATTTGTCTCGCTTGCAAAAAAAGCAATTAATTTCTATCAATTAATTGGACAAACAATTGCTTGTACAACACTATCTTTATCCAAACACAAAAATTATTTATCATTTAATTATCCTAATTACTCTCTACAAATATGGAAATTTGTATTCGTGTTCATATAGATGTGCCTGATAGACATACACGAATAGACCAATACAATAACAAATAAATCTAAACAAAATCAAAACAAAACGATTAGCTTTTATAACAATAGTCAGATGTTATAAAAATCAAAGAAAATTTAAATAAACTCAAATATTACAATAAATAAATAATTAATTAAAATGTACAAATAAATTCTGTCCCTTTCTCGATAAAATTTAACTTTATTTAAAATACACTTTTTGCAGAGCTTAATGGAAAAAAAAAACTTTCACTCGTTACTATGTGAGGACACTTAGCCTTTGGCAGCTTCTAAATGCCCACGTGATAAAAGCCTTCTGATTTCGAAGGGGAATGCTCCTCGAACTATTTTCGCAAATCATCAACTTTGCAGAACCGCTGCCCTGCCAAAAATGACTGCGTCGATCTGAATCAGTTTTAATCAGAAGCGGACCGTCCTAGGGAACAATTTCGCAATCTCAGCCGAAGTTGATGATCACTTTCTGGGTTGCATCTGCTGGAGATAGACTCAAGCATCTCCAGTCTACATACATTCTAACGTATTCAAAATTACAATTTTTCCAGGAAATCATAACTTAATGCATTTCTATATTAAGTCGGCTTCACACTAACTTTGCGACACTCATTAATTTGACGGGCAAGCGACATATAATTCTTCCGAATTTGGTTCGTTACTTTACTTTCAGGGCAGATCCTTTAACCATTTTGCCCGTATTCGAAACACTTGCGCTAAAGCAGATTTCCAAAATGACCAACAAAATCTCTTCCCACTCGCGTGTGCCGCCCGAATCGAATCAAAACGATATTCGTTTTTTTCAATTTCAAGAAACGCCAGATATCGGACCGAGCTTAGTTAAGTGAATAGGGTGTTTGCTTAATGACATAAGTAAAAATTCTGATGAAATAATTTTGACAAATCAACCCAATGTGAGGAGATTCCTTAAAGCTTTGCGTAAACCTAGTGCTGTTTGGCCTTAATTCTGGCAAAGAAATTCAGGGAAAGGACGCGTAACGCGTAACCAAATCCAGAGTCATATTTTTTCAGATTCCTGTTGAGGAATTTTAAGAATTTCAAAAAACGAAAGCACAGGAGGAGAACTAAAAGGTGAAAGGCTGAATGGAGGCAACCGATGATCAGATTGTTTATGAAAATAGATAGGCGGATGGAAGAATGGAAAAAACTAACCCACTTCGCGAAAAGAAGAACAAACGAACAAAAGGATATGCAGACTAAAGCACGTACGGCTAACAGACAAGTACGTAAACAGATGAGCAAGGAAGATGAACAAACAAAAAGTCAACAGGTCGGGCATACGAAAGCAAAGACCAATGAACAAACGACCGTACTAGGGAGAAAGAGATAGTCTAACGAACAGTCGAAAGTATAGGCAAATGAACAAACCGCGAAATCAATTATCCTTCTCTGTTTTTGAGATTTAAAAGACTCCAGCAGTGAATGGACGGCAAACGAGACCAAGGAGCCAGACGGATAGAGAGAGAGAGGGACAAAAAAGATAAGCTTATTAATATGGAAACAGCAAAAAAAGACGCGCGAATGGAAAATGATTAGATAGATGCAAGAATGCACATAAACATATGGCCGACAAGACGAATAGAAAAGCAACCAAAAATAAATTGAATCTCCCAAGTATACGTCTTAAAATCTCTTCAGCACATTTCTGAATACTATAAATGGACTTAGAGAAATTAATATAACCGCACAATCATCAATGGTGATTATAAAAATGCATAAAGACATACATTAAAGTCTGGCAACATATCTTAAGATTACAGAGATAGCGAATAACAAAAGGAAATTACGGCGATTACTTAAGCGAATGACTGGTTTGTTTAAGAAACACCTGTTTGATTAAATTAGGTTATGGTTATAGTGAAAAATCTCAGGAAATAAATGAGACCCTATTGAAAAGGCGGCATAGATAAAGATACATTTATGAATTATTACTATTCTCTCTATTGAATTTTCCCACATAATAAATATTTTCCATAATTAATGGACATTTTTATCTTTTTTTTATTTAAATAAAATCAAACAAAAGAGCAACAAAATTACACACATATCATTTCCGCCGCTTCTTCTTTTTATTAGAAAAAGGTATACAAAAAAAAAAACAAAAAAAAAGCGCAGACAGTCTATATGACAACAACGTAACTGCCAATAAAGTGAATAAAACAAAAAAAAAAAAAAAATATATAAATATAAATATATATATAAAAAAAAATTTATAACTAAAAATGACTTCCGTAATTGCATGTATTCGTGCCTTTGTATGCCATACGTACGTATATGATGATAACGTTGATGATGACGATGACGTCGTAGTGTTGAAAACTCATCGACCAATCATTTTTACAACAATATGGCGAGAGTCAGTCACACTAGCAGTTGGTCATACCTTACCTTACCTTATAGCCATTTATTAATGAATATGATTTAATTTAATTGTTATGCCTCTCACAGGCACACAAACACTTAAATACAACATTCCCCCTCTTAACAGCTTTTGACACCTGCTAACCATATCCACTATCTTTTCTCTACATTACGCCAGCCAATCTGTGTTTAACTTGTTTTTTCAGTTTAAAAAATGTATTTTCTTTTCTCATTTTTTTTTTTGTTTTTGTTTTTTTTTTTTCAATTTATCGTTCGCAGGTGTTTGTCCGTGCGAAAGTATTCTTTAGCATTGGCGGTCGGCAGTATATCGGTGAACCGGTACAATTCTCTTACATGCCCGACACTATGTTGGATCACGCGCGCGACGTGACAATCAAATTACATCATCGTCTGGGCAGATATTTGCAACTGCATTTATATTTTGCAGCACGTTGGTTGATGTTAAGCGAGATTACATTCATATCAGGTAAGAATGGCGGCAAAAGAAACCGAACATAGCACAGAGAACGAGGTACGGTCACAGGCAGCAATCATTTGCAACAAATTATTTAAACGATAGACAGACAGAACGTAGACAACCATATCAATTTCACATTATTCTATTATTATAAGCGAAATGTACAGATTTTTCTATAAAGGCAGACGACATACTATTATAAAAAAAAAAAAAATTTTTTTTGGGAAAAAATGGAAATTAAAATTTTTACTTCAATTCTTAAATAATGGAATTTTTTCATAATCTGCCAATCAGTGAGTATATTAATGAAAATGTGCACACACAAGAGCTCTCAATATTATACACTTTTAATTCATAATTTGTTAAAAGGTACTCACCAGCCATGCCAGTTCCAAATAGGTTAAGCCAGTGATTATCTGTAATTAAATTTTTTTTAAAAAACATTATAATCATAGACTATAGCATGGGATGGAACAAAAAAAAAGAAAAATTATTTTGAAGAGCGAACGAATTTCTTCGTGCCCTCGCAATATCGCGAACATGCTACGGAAGTATCGTTCGTCGTTTTGTTATTACCGAAGCTACAACTACCATTGCTAGGAAGGCGTTTTTTTCGAAAACTGGCTGATAGTCACAGCTCACCTAGTCTGTGGAAATTATATAGAGGACTCTCTTTTTTTTGTAATTTTAATACAACATAGATCCATAAATTTTTTATTTTGCTATGAAAGCATAAGTACTTTATCTCATAACTAATTCTTTAAGGAAAAAGTTTGTGGCGTTTTCAAACAACATTTTTTCTTATCTTGTAAATCAACTTCATTAGATCGCACATGTTTCATTTTGTGGTAAAACTCAAGTGGGTGCTTACATCACATTACAAATTTGACAGTGGAACACATCAATCCATTGGCCGCACGAATTCTTGCAATTTGCGCAAGTACACAGCACTACCTTATGTAGAGACAGCCCACTTTTTTTACTACTTTACCCATCTTACACTGCATTATTGTAAAGTTGTTTCATCAGCGACTACTAATTTTTTCCTCATCTTCTTGATATAATATTATCAAAGTTACAGGATTCGAAAGAGGAAAACATCCAAAACTTTTTTCTTTCTGTATTATAAAGCAGCATATGCCATAACCCCGCCTACGTGCAAGCACCATGAATCATGTACTAAATTAGATGGTCGTGTGTTTATTACGCATTACTTCCATTTGTTTAGTTCTCCGAACAACTTTCTGTAAAGTGTAAAGTTGATAAAACAAGAAGCCTTAAAAGATCACTAACAGTTTTTTGTCCAGAAATCCTAGAAGCTCTATAGTAATGGAGTATGTGCTTTGCCATATTCCATTTAATAAAGCTCATATAAAATATTAGGAAAATGTATTCTCATCTTCCCTTAATGAAACTTACACTGCCTACACTTGCTTTCACTTGAACAAAAAATAACATAATGTTGCAGAAGTTTATATCAATCACACGGCTATTTATATAACGTGATTTCATTCCAAAAGTCAACTTAAACAACTGAACAATTTTACGGTACACCACAAATATGATTGATTCGCGAAAGGCTATCAATGAACTTTGCCATGCCGTTTCTGGTTACTTGATATAAGAAGCCTTCTAGAGTGTACAGAGTTTGAGTTACAAGTTCTTATGTAGCAACTCGGTTGGAAAAATTTTGAAATAAGCAACGATTCTTCGATCTACAAGTCGTGTTTGCCAGGTGGCAAATCAACCCAAAAACTGAACAACACGACTGATGATTGAAAGAAGATAAGACATAGAAATATTTTATAGATTTTACTCGAATTTGGTTCTAATGAGTCAAGTTATTCATTCGTTGACGAAATAGCACAACATAGAGGAAAATATGATAAATATATTCTTGGTCCTCTTCGATATGATGTGCATGCTACCAGAGCTGAAAATTCGAAATAGTAACCACTTAACGCATCACCAATTTTTGTTAACTGCTTAGGATTCCGTCTTGACGTATGAAATAAATATCTCTCGAGGACTATATAAAATTTTTATTCCTAAGCAGGCTTTTAATGGGTGTGATTGAAAGCAATGATTAAATAGAATTTTTCAAGATAGCATTTTCTTCTTAAAAATTTTATTTTAACTTTTATTTTTCATTAATTTCTATTCCATTTAATTTCATTTTTAATTGATCGCATAAATTAACAAAAATCGAGAATTGTATGCATTTTTCATATAACTTTTTTAAGTGTTAGTTTGCTCCAGATATCTAGGAACGAATACAATGTAAATTTTTCACACACACATACACACACATATATATATATATACATATATATATATATATATATATATATATATATACACACACAAAACGCACACTTATAGATATTAAATCCTTGATACAAATTTAGTTTTTTAGAAACTCGTTGCTTATTCTTTTTGCTTAAATGCATATACGATTGAATATGTAACAAATACATACATGTATACATATGCACTTCACTAAACATGATAAATGCAGCATTATTCACATATACGCACATGGTTGAGTATATCGATGCGTGCACATACAAGCAAAAACATATATAATATATATATCTATATGAATATGTATATACAAAACATAAAAATCACATACATTATTGAAAATTGTTTGTAACTACATTACAGTTTTCGTCTTTTTTTTTTTTCGTTCTTTCATTCTTTTCATGCTTTGTTTTTGGATTATAAATGTTACTGAGTACAAGTAAATGCGCAATTGTGCATATTTGAATTTATATATATACATATATATATGTATTTGCATTAAGATGCATGAGTGTATGTAAACTTTTGGAAAGACAAAAGAATATAATTTCGTATGCTCTAAACAAGCACTTGCGCTTGTTCATCTAGAATTCAGTAACATTTCACAAAATGATATATGAATACTTGGAATCATTCATACATACGCATGCATATACATATCGAAGTTCATACGTGATCTACATACATGTAAATGAATATGTATTTAATTTTATGTCAGTTTGCAATAATACACGTTTATATTATTGGTACACTTTAAGTAATTCAAGAAAGAAGCGCCAAAACTCTAACACGTTGACTTAAGAAATATGTTCGCATTTCTCGTGAACCCGAAAAGTTTCTCTCAGTGTCTCTTTTTGTGCATATATAAGCTTGAATGAAGGTATTATGCAATAAAACGGCATTAGATAGTAGCAACAGCAGCAGCAGTAGCAGCACAGCATCACTAGGAGCAATAATCCTAGTAAAAGTAGTAGTAGTAGCAGTAACAGTAGTAGTAGTGGTAATAGTACTAGTAGTGGTAGTAGCATTAAAACATCATTGTGCAAATTAAATGAGCATCTATTTTACTTTTGTGCATTGGAAAATTTTCAAATAAAATTCAATGAGTAGAAAAAAGGATCTTAAGTATTTTTTTAGCTCACACCAAACAAAAAGAGCAAAAGAGCACAATATCCACCTTCATATATATATATATAAAATGTATAAGATTTTTAATTAAATAAGCTTGAGAGAGCTTTAGAAAAATTAATACAGAAACATATTCAAGGATTTGTTTAAAAAAGTAATTGATAATTTGCAAGTAATAAAGAATATTGCTTTTGACAACAATCATATGCTGTGCAGTAAATGTAGAAAGAAAAATTTTAATTAAGACGACTTAGTAAAGATTAAAACCAAAAGAATCTCTCAGTAAAATATTATAATTGCACTTAAGAAGTGAATACCCACAAAACCCTTTCACTCTTGTTTACCTTGTTTATTAGAATATATTTATGAAGAAATTAAAGACTAGTTCCCACCCCCACCTCCACACACACACTTACTTATAAGTGTGCAAACATTATGATCGTCAGTAGAGAAAGGAGAATTAGGATGCAATTGCTACCTGGGAAGGCTCGATAAATGGACGTAGTTTAATCCACGTTGAAAATTTCCTGTAGTTGCGGCCAATCGTATTCGTAGTAAAGTGTAGCCATTCTCCTGTATTGGAAATTGAACCTTGGTATAGCGAGTTGGGTTTTTTATCTATTTATTTATTTATTTAACAGATACCGCTACAGATTATATCATTTTTCGAATATTGAACTATAAAAGAACTTAATTCAAAATTTATAATAGCATGTGATCGAGTATACAGGCATATACGGTGACGTGCACCATTGGGCATTCTTGTAACTAATTATAATAACTAAAGGAAAACCTAAGGCAATTTACAATCTGAACAAGCAGTACCACTGACAATGCCATAAAAATCAGATTTGTAACCTTTTTAAATATGTATTATTCAGTCCTAAAAGTAAGCAGGATCATGATATATATCGCGAACATAATATATTTAGAAAAGTTATTATTATCTGGTTTGAGTGAATTTGAACAAAGTAGTTACCTAATATAAGGCTTCTAGTCGTGCTAACGGATATAATTGAGAAATCTCGCCGAACAGTTTACATATTACTCGTAACCGATTGAAGAACTCTTTTAGGCTATAGTCAGGTAGCATAGTTATTGATTCTTCGGTCCGAAGTCAGGCGGACACTGATGATACTGCACACACCAGATACCCAAGAGTGTATTTGCGCCAGGAACCAAAAAAAAAACCTTGAAATTATTCTTGATAATCAAATAGTAAAATAACTAAATATACATATATATATATATATATTTCGACTACGTCGCTTCAGCTATTACAAAGGGATCGTCAAATGTAGTGCTCATCTGCTTGGGTAACGATAGAAATGCATTTTCCTTAAAACAAACCAAAGGGGATACCGAAACGTTGCAAACATTCCTAATTGTAGACATTGCAATTACCCGACCGACGAAGCAGACAAATGCTGCAGGCGATGTTTAACAAAGAAAACACGCAAATATATAAATGCATGAACTTAAGAAGGGCAGGGAGAGGGAATTATGTTCGGCTTGAGTTGAAGGTTTTTTGATATGCAACAAATTGTTGGAAATTGTTCGGGCGTATCAAAAAATAATTAGATGTGAAACTTGATTAACCGAAAGCATGAGATTTTGAAGAAAATGCAAAAAATTTAAGCATACTTTCAATTGCTCTTCTTAAATACCTTCGATTTTGAGAGAAATATTTTTGTTTTTAAATTTCAACATTTTTGTTTAAAATTCATCTCTTCACTCAGATTATCTTTGGTTCCTTTATATATCTATCCATCTTTTCACAAAAAAAATTTTTATTTTCAATTTTTTCCTTGTCTCGTTCATTTACATGTCCGTTATCTACAACTCAATGATTATCTAAAGTGTTCTATCAAAAAATTTGAAAGCAACAAGAACATGAAATGAGAATTAAATAGAAAAACAAAACAGAGAGAAAAAAAAAGCAAAAACAAAAACAAACAAAAAAAAACCTTTCACCGTAACTCTGACAAAATCAATCTTTTCACAGTCTTTACAATTTTTTTTCCATTGTTGAACATCTAGCAACTCATCCATTTATAAATCTCGACTAATTGAATTTTAATTATTCTTCAGGAAAATCAATGCATACCAAAGTAAGTATACATATATATATATATATATATATATATACTATGTATATATGGTTGTGTATACTGAAATACTATTAAAGTGAAACAAAAAATTGAAAAGTAAAATAAAAAAGATGACCAATAGTTTAAGAAGAAGAAGAGTGAAATGAAATCAGTAAAAGAAGAAAAAAGAACAAACTCTGATGCATTTCATTGAAAACAGCTTAAGTATTAATCAATTATATAATTACCTTGAATTAAGGTAAAGAAACATAAAAACAAAAAAATTATTTTTTAATTTTTTTTATTACTTTTCACATTCTTTTATGAACGAGAAAACATTAAGCGAAAATAGCAAAGAAATCTCAAGTAATTCATAATAATTTCAATATAATAAAAAGTTGTATAAAGCGCCTTATTAAAGTGTATTCTTTTAAAAAAGAAAGAGAAAAAGCGAAAAAAAAAGTTACTTTCCATATACATGCACATATATATACACTTTGAAAGTCAAGAAATTCTTTTTTAAATTTATGCAATTATTCTCAAATCTTCTGTTCTTTTCTTTTCTTACCTTTTCTCTATTTTGCTCTGAACAAACTTTAAATCTTATCACTAACAAACAAATAAGAAAGAATTCTTTTTATTTGTTTGTCTCCTCTTTCAGCTTTTTTTCTTCCATATACGTATATATACGCTTTTACACAGTAAGGTATTTCTTTATGCAAATGTTTTTTGGGTCCAAAAATACCTTTGCTTTCTCGCGAGTTAAATCATCTTTAGAGCTATTTTTCCAGGTTTCGCGAACAATTGGAAGTGAAAACGTTTTACACAAACTTCTTCCTTATTCAAAAAATCTGCTAAGTCTTCGCACATCACATCCCGAGTGAGTTGAATAAAATATCTTCTTTATTGATGAAATTCTGGACATAAAAGCCACAAATCTATTGGCTTAGTCCATCTCCAGCCAAAAATCCAAAAAAAAAAAAACAAGTATTGATGAAAGTCGGTTGGAAACACTCAAAATCCCCGACTGTCCGTAGCAAGGGTCCGTTGAAAAAATGCAGTATAGACTTTCTCTAATAAATTTATGTGCGAGGTGCGTTTTCGAAAAAAAGAGTGACTTTTTGATTTTTTCGAAAAATTTTTCTTTATTCATCAATAGCTATCTAGTTCCCCCCTTCAAAGTAATCCATATATGGTAACAAAAACAAAAATCAAAATTTGAAATTCTCATCCGTTTTTTTAAACACATCTCATATGTAACATATACATAACAACATAAACACATCTCATTTCACATATAATGGCAAAATCCCACAAAATTAAAAAAAAAAAATTCATCCAAATCTTAACCAGAAGCATGTTTTGTTTAATCCACAAAATGGATGACCCTACACATAATATATTAAAAAAGAAAAAGAAGAAATTTCGAACAAAACGATTTTATTGAAAATTTTTGTTGACTAAAATATTATTTTCATTATTTGGTTTTTCAACTCAATTGTAGTTTCATTAATATTCATTAAATTTTACAAAATTACATTTATGAAGTGTTCTTGCATTCCACAATAAGCAAAGTCTTTTAATCTTTCTTCTTCTTTCCAATATGAATTCGCATAAAACGTGACTTTACTGTATATATTTTCTTTAGTAGGAAATGTACAAGTTGTGCAAATAAATGCAAATTCAAATGTAAATAATCGTTAAGCTACTATTGCGGACAGACATACGACTGTACAGTAGTAGCAGCTACCGTCTGACTGACTGCAAAATTTGCATAACAATGTGTTAAACCAATATTGATATTAAACATTTTTATAAAAAATTTATTTAAACATAAATTATTTTTTCATTTTTCTTTTTTTTTAGCTCCTATAGCGGGCAATTTTACCGATGAAGAATTCATGGGTGCTAGCGGTTCTCAAGATAATTCTGAATATCCTTTTCAACGAGATGAAGTGGCCAGAACACCAAGTAGGGACAGAAATTTATATACACCTCAAGGTATGCTATAAACTCAACGTAAATGGCTTACGAATTTAAAGTAGTGTTACATTGGTCGACCTAAACATGCCCTGTCGCCCTGGTATGCCCTATACCACACAGGATAAATTGAGTATGAGCAGACGTACGTAACGACAAGCGGGACTAAAGATAGATTTACCTTTTATTATGCCAATGGTATCGCAAACATTTTCTGAATCGCTTTAAACTGTCCACCGATCCGTGTGTCCATCCGTCCGTCTAGTGTCTCTCCAATTTGTATTCAATCTACAGATTGAAATTTTTCAAATATTTTAATGAAATTTTGCACATTGACCTGCTTTGACCGAAGGACGACGATATTGAAAACTTTTCGGATCGGTGCCCCTGAAAAAAAATTCGTAATAAAAATTTTTTGGACCCCCTCACATTCATCAGAAAACTGAATCTTTATATGCTAAAAAAGACATAGTTTTCGATATTTCATGGTGAAAAGTGATTCGCAATACTAAATTGACCAAGAAATCAATCTTATCGAATTTGAAACACATAGGTCCATATTTTGGATACCACCGCCCGTAAGGACTTTTAGAAAATTTAAAGCCCTATGTGACAAAAAGGCCTAATCGTTGATGTTTTATGATGAAAATTTATACATCGGAGCAATTTCGCAAAAAAAATTAACAATAGAAATTTGGGATCACATAAGTCTATTTCTCAATGCTAAAAAGCTCTTATATGAAGAGCAAGCCGAATATCTGTAATGTTCGTACTTGTTTTATTTAATATCTTCCTTATTATCTGCTTACATAAAGTAACAAAGTAGGTCTACAACATGCTTTCTTACAGAAGCCAAGTCCTGAAGGCTAAAGGATATCTGCAAAGTTCAATATTAAGTATTATCTAGTGTTACAGAAGAAGTTAGCGCTAATATGGGCGGTGGAAAAACATATTTTGGTTTCTACTTATACTTATAGGAGCAGGCTTTATCTTCAAAAGGTGTTAAGGTTTCTAAAGTTTTTTGAAATTACATTTTGCGAGAGAAGTTTTTGTACCGTTAATCTAAAAAAAAACTATCAACAGAGTAAAACCATTAAATTTTCGTACTCTCTCGTTGGGTGGGCGTGGCTGATTTCTAGAATGAATTCTGATTTCTAGAATAAAAGCAGAAATTTATATTTCCTGTCTACTGCAGTAATTAACAAGTAGCTGAACATATGGGCTGACAAATATGTCTCGAACAATTCACATTGAGACTGATCACCACTTTGTAGACTTTATAGGATCTCTGAAGCTTTCTTCTGGGTGCTTGAAGCGTTTAGATAAACAAAAATTAAATTTCAATATTCTATAATTGAGTTGGAGTATGCGATATTTCCATTTTTGGACAGACGCTACAGGGTCACCCACGCAACATAAGTGCGAATTTTTAGTGTTGTATCGGTTGTCATTTATAAGTAACGACCACAACCCACAAATTTTTTTTTTTTTGAAAATAGAGGTCATCTCAAGCCATGTGGTACTGTGGGGGTATCCTTTTACTTATTCGGCCATTTTGGTTCGATACCAAACCGGATGCAAGAACTTGCAATACTTTTGATAAACTTGCGGCAAATAGCTTAGTTCTTGCGCTCAGGAAAATGTTTAAGTCAGACCGTAGGCAGATGAAGAGACAGAAAGAACGACAGGCAGATATTTGGAATTTCATTCGGATCAAGAATATATATATATATATATATACAGCGAAACTTCCCTCCAGTTGCAAACGTTTTCATAAAATGAAAATATTCCTAACACATCGGTGATGGGTATAAGAAGCGAACGAATTCATAACGAATTCCAACAGTGTAAATGTAAAACAATTTTCATTCATTTAAAGAAGCCTATAAGCGAAAGAAAGTTTTCTGCTTGAAAATTTCGATTATTATTAATGCATACATAAATAAGTTACTGCTCAAGGCATGCAGTATATAAAATTCAGGTCATTTTCAATAGTCATAAGCTGGAAAATTGTGCTAAACAAAAAATATCATAATACTTAATATATTTTTCGCACCACGTGCAAGCAAACACAGCGAAATAAACTGAGAAAATGAATAATCTGAATTTTCAGTACATAACTAAAAATAAGGGAAGTCAACGGAAAAGAACGAAATAAATAGAAATCAGTATATTTAAGCATATATACTAGTTTTCGCACAGCATTTATTAAATCGAAATATGTACATCAAAGACGATGTAAAATAACATAAAGTTAATGATAATTATTGGTTAACCAAGCCCACCCATCGGCTGGAATTTTAAGTGACTTTTGTTGATTCTTAACGATTTTGGCTAAAGCCATCCCTTATAGCATATCTATCATAGCTAAAATAATCTAAAAAATGTTGATCAAATTTTTATGAAGTTTTCAAATATGAATTGAAATTTTCACTTTCTGAAACGATACAAGCTTGTCTGTCTCGTGTTGTTTTCTTGCGTTTAACCTTGAGACAGCGATTTTTGATATACTTTGATCAAATGGTTTGGTTCAAGGACGAAAACTATTGAAAATGGTTCAGATTAGATCACTTCTTTCATCACTTTCTGTATAACGCCTTGTTTTAAAGAGCTGCTGCATGAATAACTACAGAGTGGTGTAGGATATTTAATGAAGATTCACTATACTACCTTTACTTATTAACAATACAAAATTTTGCCTAATGAAGTAAGGAACTTCGGCGTCTTTTATAAGCGACGAGTATCCAAGATTCGTCTTAAAGCGGATATTACTCTTTGACTTTACGTCTACCAAAGAAATTCAAGCAAAGAACGAACATATTAGAATGTTTTAGTGAGATTTGCAAATGCAAGTCCTTTTAATTTAAGTATTCATATATTTTTATTAAGTTTTTTGATTTCATATATTAAGATATTCAAATTAGATGTTTGTTAGAATTTTCACATCAAAAAAAGTTGGAAATGGAATAAAGACTCTGGCGTTAGAAAACTTAATATATACATATATATATATATGAAGTTATAGAACACATTTAAAAAAAGTAGAAGAAAAATAAGAAGCAGAAGATATTTAAAATATATAGAAATGATACAGATTTAAAAGATGTACAATTATCTAGTAATATTTGTCGAAGCCAGTTAAAAATTCGGACCGAAAATAGATCTATTTGTTGCCTTAAAGAAATATTTTTTAATTTATATATATTTTCGCTTCAAACGACTGGTATCCAACAGTCGTCTAAAAGTTTATATGCATATCTACACACACACATATATATATAGCTCATTGTTAGTTTTTCATAATTAATAATTTTTTTTTTTTTTTTTTTTTGTTAAGGATGACCAGTGGAATAGCAAAACAACAAGTAAATAGCAGTATAGTAATAAAAAATAATAATAATCATAAAAAACTATTAAAAATACCACAAATATGACCTAAATTATTTTGCTAAAAAAAAAAAAAAAAAAACAACAAAAAAAAATAGCAACAGCTAGTTATCCATGTAAATGTAATCTGTGAGGAAAGGCGAGGAAAAACGCAAAATAATTTAAATTGTTTTTTTTCTTTTTTTTTTTTTTTTTGGTTTTTTCTCAACAATTTTTTGCAGTTATCTCACCGAAACCCATTGACCAAGAACCGGAACCGAATATAGTTGGTGTTATTATCACCGTACTTACTACAATCATTTTACTACTTGTGGCCATAATACTTTTGATAATTGCTCGTAATAAGCGAGCGCGTGGACGTGGTAACGTTTTGGATGCCTTCCAACATAATTTTAACCCGGATACATTGGGCGGTGTGGATAATAAACGTATGAATGGCAATAGCATGAAGGTATGAAAAAATGAAAAAATATTTTTAAAAATTGAAAAAAAGTATTAAACAGAAGATTACCATACTTCGAAATAATATCTTCTTTTTTTTTTTTGTCTTTTTATCTGACAAGCAGGCGGTTACTATGGAACCAGATAATGAATCAATCGATAAGAGTAGCCTTTACCATGAGCCATTCAATGTTAATATGTACACAAGTGCTGCAAGCGGCTGTTCAATGAATGAAATGCAACGACAACATTTAACGCCTGACTATACAGGTGAGAGAAAGAACTTGATATATGAAAAATAATATTAAAAAAAAAAAAAAAAAATCCCGCCTTATATCACCATTGTTGACATACATGATATTTATAACCATACATGCACAAACATTAAAATTGTTAAATATTCCCCCTAGAGAGCAGTGTCCGAGTGATAGAACAAAAGTTAATTTGCCAACGACATATCGATGTAATGTAGTATTTTAATTAAGCCTTGTATGTAGACAACAAGCACAAAAAAAAGAAGAAAAATTTAAAAAAAAAAATGAAAACTTTTATTAAACAAAAAATTGCAAAAACAAAAAAAAAAAAAAAAGAAGAAAAATACTTTACACGCAAATATAGCGCAACGTTCACAACTGCAAATGACTATTCTCGGAAATAACTGCAATAGTATGAGTGCGATTGTCGGGCCAATTTAACACGTACATGTTCAGTGTGTAATGAATTCTAATGTTTCTCTTTATAGAGTCAAACAAACAGGTACATATATATATACCTGACAATTTTTCAATAGGACTTGTTTAATAGCAAAAAGGAAGAGTATAATGCAAACTATGACATCTCAACATTATTGCAGCTTGTATCATCGTAATCATTACTGTTATAACGCTAGTAAAACAAAACAAAAAAATATGAAGGGAAAATTACATGGAATGGAAAGTAAGAAAATAATAAAAAAAAATATTCCAAATCAAGTCTTCTTTAACAAGATTCACACTGAAGGCAAAACACATCCCTACATCAAATTTCATTAAAATGTCTCCCATATATCAACCTTTAGATCGATCACATACATACATTAAACGGAGAGACGATCAGGCTCGCCTAAATCGATTTAGAAAATAATTCTGAATCATTTGGTACAACGAAGCGAGTAAGGCACGTGCCCATTATTAAATTCTCTAAACCACTTCGCTTAATACAGTTATTCATGCAGCGACTTTTCAAAATAAGACTTCATTTTGCCGATCCGTGCAAACATTTCGTTAAAGAGATTTCACAAAAGCTGCGACACGTAAGTTGAGCACCAGAAAACATAGATGGCACAGACACACAAACGAAACGAAAAGATCAGCTTAGATACATTCAGAAAGTGATTAAAAATGAATAAAAGGTGGATCTATTTCTGGATGTACATACATCTGCATAAAGTACCGCTGGTGACGTAAGGGAGAAAAAGGGCGCGTTCATTTGAAGTCGTTTTAGGTACGAACCTAATGGACAGCCAAAAACAAAATGTAAGGCGTAATAATAGTCAGTATGTTGTCCCAAAGTGCGGTTGCAGGAAAGTCAAAACGCGCATCGCTACTACGCAATCGGTTTAGGTTTGACCTACATGCGACATTGAATGCAATAAACTCAAACCTGTATAATTATATATCTCGCCTATCCCGGATGCATGAAATCGATAAGATATCATTAGAGAAATCTATTGGACTGCTAAGACCAAAGTCAGACGTCGTTTTTGTCTCAGACCAGTTTAAATGTTACGTAGACATAAGCTAAGTAGTTGAAGATGCGACCCTGACGGACCGAACAGATATTGTCGATCTCATTCGAAGATCGAACCTATGATTTTGTATGAGACGGCCGGCAATGTCGAAAAAGCAGAGATAGATGTCTTTGTCCGATTTCCGGCCCACTGCCTATTTTGCTGCTGACAATCACAACACGGATAGACGTGCGTTCCGGTGAAGATGTAAATGAACAAGAAATACTGAAGTGAACATATATACCTAAAATAAGATGAAAGAGCATGAGGAATATAATACAAAGACCAATGTAATAAACAAAAATTTTAAATAGATATGGAATAAATTATAAAAGGAATTGCAATAGAAATAAGTTCATATAACTGTACCTAACGGAATGTGCGGAACAGGTCGGGATCAACAGCCAATAGGTCAGACATCAAGGAGAATAGAAATAGAGGCACCAACACGCCTGTGAAACAGATAGAGGATAAATATAACCTAGAAATAATGCTACAGGGATTCAAGATATATAAATTTTTTTTATAAGGACTCTAACGCTAACTTTCAAACAGCTTAGTCAAACCGAAAAGGTTTTTATCTCCTTAGAGGATATTTTCCTCGATTTTATGCAAGTTGATTATGTATAAAAATATAATAAATTTTTTTTGTTTTAGTGACCAAACAAAAATATTTCTTAAAAACTAATACCATTTAAGAGATTTTTTTAAGGTTTTTACATTTCTAAAAAAAAAAAATTGTGTTTTTTAGTTTATACCTTTCTTTTTTTTTTTTTTTTTTTTTTTTTTTTGAAAGTTTTAAACTTCAATATTACTTGGGTTGTTTGGAAACAAACAACCATTGCTGACACTATTCTCGTCACTACTAACTAGCATCAAGTTCTTTAAAAGAATCTTAAAACTTTTTATACTAGAATGGAAAGCGCTTAAGAAAAGTAAAACCACAATATTTTCTTTTTTCATTCCTTAAAAACAATTCCTTTAAGTTTCTATACAAACATATGTGTACAATTTCCCATACACATGCATCTTATTAAACGTGTTATTGTTTTGTTCTTTTACTGGGTAGAGGAGAAAAGCGAAAAATAAATGTTAATGACTAAAGTTTTGACATAGCATGCAAACAATTTATTTTTTACTTTTCTCAGTTTATTTCTCTTGCCTTCACTTTTTTTCTTCTGTTTACTGTAGCTTTGTAAGATTTATTGTTTTCAAAATTATTCAGATTGTAGAAGGAAAACAAGAAGAAGAACTAGTTTTCACTTTTTCATGGCCTCAGTTCGACGGCAAACTATTTTACTAATTATTATTATATTCACCTGATAACGAATCATTGATGCCCATTAATGATCATAGATACAGGGATTAGGAAATCAAAAGGCCTTGATTTGCTCCTGCTTGTTGTTATTTATTTTAGGCATGTACTCCCTACAGTAAGAATCTTTTCG